TTATATTACTGTCGAATCTGCCATGACGGCCACGTGTATAATACGGCCACTTTCCTTGCGTGTATTCTTTAATTCAAATATGTAAAACGGTCACATGTCCGATGCGGCCACGGCGACTTTACTTTTTCAACCCATAGTCAAATGTACCTGCCCGAGACAGCCAGGTGCGGTCACTCATCGCCCGACGCTTTGTCATAAATGTTTTAATCGGCCCCTGACGCTGTGGACCAGCGGTCATAATCCTTTCACATGTCGTTATTGTTTATCCCTCCCTCCAATGAATGTTTACACAAATTGACCAATGGGTAACAACACATTTTTACAACTGCTGCTGTTGAGGGACGCGTGTGATCCGTCATAACCTGTATGTCCTCATACAACTCTGAGCGTCAAGGTCGTAACCTATAAGCCCCGCCTACAACTCATGCACAAAATTCGTATGTGAGTTGACTGGTCACTGTTTTGTTAACATTGTCTGTAACAAAGATGTTGACGTGAACTTGCGACAGAAGCCCCGCTCGTTCTCCGAGAGGTGGCGAACTGTGTTTGTTTTACCATGGCACTTGGTTTTCGTCGTTCTTTTTTTCCCTCTTTTTTTTGTGTGAGAGTTTTACGGCGCTCGCAACTGCATAAGGTCATATGAGCGCGCAGGACACGTTAAACTTTTTCAGTTGGTAGGAAATTTTGAATTTTGCCATATTGGCGCCGAAGCCTACTCTTATCGATTTTAGACCACCAATGGATCTTAAACGTGTGCAGCTTGTACACGGGCCCTTCGAGATTTTTCATCCTTGTCCGAGTTGGCTAGGTGTAGATCTTTCGTGCCCAAAGATCAGGGGTGTGACTGAAAGACAGCAGTAAGAAGGAGTCAAGGAGTGGCAGTAGAAAGGCTGCAGAAAGAGTCAGGAGTCAAGAGGAGGGGGGCAAAGGAGGTGAGGGATGGGGGCAGAAAGAGGAGACGAAAGCAGACGACATAGCATTGCTAGAGAGCAGGAAAGGAGGTGAAAGGAGACAATTTTAGAGAAAAAAATTGTTCGGTTGCAACCCGGATTCGAGCCCGGGACCTTTGAATGAGAGGCCAACAGCTTAACCTCTGGGCCATGAGAGCCCCCCTTCATCTTCCTAAGTAATATTTCGTTTATTTTACCCTTGCACAAAATCTGCAACAAAAAGAAGCTAGCCAAAAAATCAAACCAACGAAGCAACAACAACAACAACAACAACAACAACAACAACAACAACAACAACAACAACAACAACAAAAACTTTCTTACACCACCCACCCTCTTATTCAAAAGAGAACAAAAACCTTTCTGAATTTTCCTTACGGCAGTCCAAAGCCTGAGATCAGCCTCGGTTTGGACCTTTGAAGAGAATGGTTTGCTTTCTTCATTTTGATCAGTCCTGTTCAAGACGGCCACCTGCCTTATACGGTCATTTTTTCTTGAAAATGGGTGGCCGTTTGACTAAATAAATAAATATATACAAAATGTGTGTGTGTGTGTGTGTGTGTGTGTGTGTGTGTGTGTGTGTGTGTGTGTGTGTGTGTGTGTGTGTGTGTGTTCAGTATTATGTATCCCTCTGATATGCTTACGTATTTAGGTTACACATTATAAAATGTATTTGAAGACCTCAAGTGCACAGCACTTCATTAAATAAGAAAAATGTTCAGTCCTACTGTCTCTCACGTATTTATATTATATTATTATGAACCGTTCTTTTCATGAAATGCTATTTTAAATATATGTCATTTTTAAGTTCACGTTTGAGTCCATTATTCTATGAGGAGGGGAAGGGGAGGAGGAGGAGAATTTAGGTTAGGTAAACAGTTGTGCGGGTTGAGCAAGGGGGCGGGGTGGAGGGGGCAAGTTAATGGATCAGTAAATACAGTAAACATTGGTAAATGTAGAGAGTACAATGGGGAGAAGGGAGGGTTAAGTTTTATGTGAAAAACAGAGTTTAAAAATAGGTGTGTGTGGGGGGGGGGGGGGGGGAGAAGGGAGGGTTAAGTTTTATGTGAAAAACAGAGTTTAAAAATAGGTGTGTGTGGGGGGCATAAGTGCCCGGTAATTTTAATATAATGCACTTGATAAGAATCTCCAGATCAGCTTTTGAAAACATTGTTTTGGAATAAAATGACTAAAATACAATTCAGGACCCTTTTTATCTATCAAAAAAGTCTCTACAGTATAATATCATACAATTCTGCCAATAATTGTTGATCCGTAAAGAGAGAGAGAGAGAGAAGAGAGAAGAGAGAGAGAGAGAGAGAGAGAGAGAGGGAGAGAATCCTAGACTTAAATAGCAACATTATGTATGTAAAATTATTAATGAAAACTCACTCAAAAAAGGGAAAGGTTGGCCGCCGGACCGGAAGCGGAAGACTTGTCGATTACGATAATAATAACAAACGACGGCAGTTTCAATTTTCTTTCGTTTTCACCACGTTCGACCGTCAGTTGTCCAGAGTGAGGTGCATGCTGAACTGAACACGTTTGTAGTGTAGGAGCTCCGAAGTCAACGAATTGTACAACACGAGGTAGGCTACCCTGTGGGCAGAAGCTTTTTTATGTTATTGTTAGCCTGTGCATTGATTCAGAGGACTCACGATAGAATTCTAGTAAGCCCTCTTAATTAAATTGCCTTCCCGTTCCAATTGATAATTTGCCGAGTGAATAAGTGTAGAGTGAAGATTGTGTGTTTAATTATTATTTTTGAAGGAGGCTTGCCCCCCTCACCTAATAAAAATAACAAAGTGACTATTTCTCCGAACGTTCTGAGAAATAGTGCGGTTTCCGGTTTCCGGTCTCGTGATTTTTTGCCTATTTATTGCGAGAGTTCGGCGCCAACTTACTTTCATTTTGCCTCTGGTCTGGGCAGGAACACCGCATGGCAAGCCCGCCTACAGAAAACCTTCAGTAACACCCACCACACACCCACCACCATCATCATGCACATGTACACACTCAAAATTATACACACACTAACTAAACATGATCAGTGGGCAACTTTTGAACGTATGAGTATGACGAGCTGAGCTGTGGATGGAGAGACAGTGTGAGTGACAGAGCAGGTGAAAGGAAGAATGTACGAGTGTATCCACAGGCGACAGCAACTACAAGGCGACGACACCGACCCCCCTGGCCTAGTCCACAGCTCACAAACGAAAGGAATGTGGCTAAGGCAGTGTTTTGCTAATATTATTGTCCATGGTTCGCAGGGTGCAAGGGAATGAGTGAGATTTTCTTTGTATGTGCCTGGAGGGAGGGGGTGGGGTGTGAAAGTCATGCGGATGGGGATGAGCCGTGGTAGAGAACACGGGAATTGAATGAATTAGTGAAAGGAAGAGGCTAGCCGTACTTAATGACGGCTAGACTGGCAGTCTAGCCGTACTTAAGTACGGCTAGACTCGCAGTCTAGCCGTACTTATTCTTAATATGATGGCTAGACTGACCATTTACAAAAAATAGACCTACTGAATGGTAAATATACATTTTTAGTGTGCAGTACCTAAAGCATTTGTATTTGAGACGAAACCAGGTGCCTTAATGACAGTGTATGTATTTTAAAACCTCCTGTTTTCTAATGTTAATAGGACCTAAGATAAGTACGGCTAGACTGGCAGTCTAGCCGTACTTAAGTACAGCTTGACTTCTTGTCTAGCCGTACTTAAGTACGGGTAGACAGCCAGGCTAGCCGTATTTAAGGACGGCTAGACTGTCAGGCTAGCCGTACTTAATTTTGATGGCTGTATTGTAAATGAAATTTTTAGTTTGCAATGCCAAAAGTATTTGTATTTCAGACAAAACCAAAAGGTGCCTTACTGACTTGCATGTATTTGAACCTGAATAATTACTAGATCTAGGTCTAATGAGACCTGTGTACTTAACAGGCTTGAGTCGATTGGGCCAAACCTAGATCTAAGTACGGCTAGCCACTTCGTTAGTGAAACTGAAAGAGAGGAACGACTCATGAGCCCTGGAGTGAATGGATCCTGTATTTCTATTTTTGTATACTTTGAACTGTTACTGAATAAAGGCTGAAATAAAGCCCGAAAAACAAACACACACACGCTCCTCACTCTCCACTTACACACTTACTACCACACACAGACACACTCACACACGCACATGCATACACACACACACACACACACACACACAGGAGCATAATTTAGGTCTATATCTATTTCAATTTTCAAGAGCTAGTCTAGAGATTTTTAGATGAGTGTAAAAACGTGAAAAGAAAGGTTTCACAACAGAATGAAATCAAAATTAGAACAGCCCATAAACAATCACAAAAATTAACAAATAAGGGCGTGAGTCCACCTGTCCGAAGAAGATTGGCTGTTTTAACCCTAAATCTGCGTAATTTTAAAACAAAGTACAGGATATTACATGTAAATTATGGAATCACACACATTAAGGGGCCTGCCAGTGTCAGTACATGTAATCGGTTTTGGTGGAACGTACGCTCTAACATAACACATTTAAATCTATATATACATGTATATATATATATATATATTTAGAATCTAATGAAGGTAGGAACATCAAATTAAATGACGTTACACTATACAACATCCCCCCCCCCCCTCCTTTTTCCCCAACAAAAAAAATTGATAGAAAAACAACACATCAGAACAATAACAAGAAAGAAAAAAATACACACTAACAAAATAAAACACCACAAAGAGGGAAAAATAAAAGTAACTATTAACATATTCAACAAATCAACGTGAAAAAAATACACACTAACAAAATAAAACACCACAAAGAGGGAAAAATAAAAGTAACTATTAACATATTCAACAAATCAACGTGGTGACAACAAGTGAGAAAGAGATGAAGTGAAGCTAGGTGAACTTTCTTTCAAAAGTAAAGAGGTTCGGTTTCTTTCTTTTTTTTCCTTTTTTTTTTCGGAGTGGTTATCTGTACAATTGTGCGGACAACTCTGTCTAGTTATCCGTACAACATTGTACCGTACAATTGTGCGAACAACTCTGTCTAGTTATTCGTACAACGTTGTACGCACAATTGTATGAAGTGCTACAGGTATCCGTACAATAGTAGGCCTACATTTTGACAGGCCTACTGCCTACATGTTCTGTCTTAGTAGATCATCTAAAAATCTAGATTCTAGATCAGTGTTTCCAATATTCCATCAGCTGAAATTTTTAAATTTTTCGTCAGACCTCATCTGCTGATCTGATGCCAGCGGCCTCATTGATGGTGTCCCCCCATGTAAAAAAAAACCTTAAGTCTAGACCTAGATCTAGACTCGAGATATCTAGAAATGTGTGCTGCTTTGAAACTGTGCTGTAAAAATATTTAAGCTTAAATCTACCTAATTCTGTTGATAGTTCTGATGGCCGAAATGACAGCGTCTGCACTTGAAGAAGTATTATATTATGAGTGTGGGTTCAAATCCCGTCACGGAAGGTTTTTTTTTCCTTCTTCTTCTCTCTCCTCCCCCGACTGACCAACAATTTTTCCCCAATTGTTTGTTTTGACTTCACAGATGTCCACTCATGGTTTTGTGTAAAACAAAGAAACATAGGCTATAGAATCTAGCTAGTCATAATTATAGATCTACTTATATTTAAAAAGAAGCATAGATCTAGCCTACTTTTCCTTTTAGGCCTACCAATTTAGGCCTGGTTAAAGTTATTACATTGATGCTCAACCCAGGGGAGAACCAACTGGATGACTAGATCTAGTGATCTAGGCTTATTTTTACCAACCTCCAAAATTAGAATAATTGTACGAATAACTCTATCTGGTTATTGGTACAATTGTACTAATAACTTGTTAGAGTTGTACGCACTATTGTACCAATAACTGCAGCCTTTTTTTTCCTTTTTTTTTGACTTTTATTCCCCGATTCGGGGACCAAAAAATGGAGCCACGGTTGATTGGTCGTGGCCGCGACAAACACAGATGCTAGTTCTATCAGTAGATCTAGATCTAGATCGAGACAGCACACTAGTGAACACAACACATTAAGTTTAAGAGCAACACCCTTCATAGGCAACACGTCATATCTGTAGTGAAAAACTGTTTGGAACTGTAGCATTTCTTTATATAAATATTTACTGCGGACATTTTTTGGACCGATTGAACCATATTGTACATACGAACAATCTTTGGTAGGCCTGTGCTATAATTATAGATCTATATAATATCCGAAATTTGCAGGAAAGGATATGATTTCAGAGTGTTCGGAGAAATAGTGCCTGGCTTTATTTTCCCGAATGTTCGGAGAAATAGTGCCTAGCTTTATTTTCCCGAATGTTCGGAGAAATAGTGCCTAGCTTTATTTTCCCGAATGTTCGGAGAAATAGTGCCTAGCTTTATTTTCCCGAACGTTCTGAGAAATAGTGCCAGCCTAAAAATAAGGTGAGGGGTTTCAGGGGGCTGATTTTACCATAATTTGATGTTTTGCAGTTGTTAGGTAACGTATAGACCTAGCGTGTGTGTATGTGTGTGTTCAACCAAAGTGTTCTCTGAGTTATGAGAGGTAATCTAATCTTTGATAGGAAAGTTACTCGGGAAAGTAAATCTGTGACTCCATTGTTACCTTCCTAACACTTTGGGATTTTTAAGGTTAATTTTGACATTTCATTATAATGCTTTTCTTTATTATTCATATTTACCATGATTATAAATTAGTTGGTTGAGCTATTTTACTGTACCCTGCAGGAAGCTGGGAAATAAGATTCTGAATACATAGAGTTTCTTTTGTTTTCGGTAATGTTCGAAACAGCTCCTTTTCCCTCAACTTTCAAATACCCTGCTCCAAGTGTTATCTTCGATATCATTATGTTTTAAGTTGATACTTAGTATTAGCACAATTTTTGCTCAAATTCCTTTCCGATGTTTCAGTGCCTCGTCCGCTGTTCTGAACTTGTAATGTTTCTAACGTAATGTAATATTTAATTAGACAAGTTTAATTTTAATATTTCAGTTTTGGTGGCCTTACTATATGTTAAGAAAGATAGCCTGTAGAAGTGTCTGTGTATTCATAGGAGAGGTAGAGTATTTTTATAAGAATACTATAAATGTTGAAATAGTTTTCGTACTTTGAAGTTTGTTTTTGAAGCACATTGTCATTGATAGCAAATCATACCATTTTTTTTTTTTTGGCCAGGGATTTATACTTGGATGCTTTTTTTACTTTTTGATTAAACTTTTATTTTTTTCCCTACCAGGTGAAGGTACTATAACTGCAGTGAATTTTAAACTGCTCTAAAATCAGCATGGATGAGTTGACTGCACAGTTAGCAGGGAGCTTTGGCGTCAGTCAAGACCCCAACCAAACAAGTGCCCCACATCCTCGATACTCTCAGTATAAGATGAAATCAACAAAACAGGATCAAGAATCGCGAAGAAGCAGGCTTCTAGAATTTCAGAAAAGGTTAGACTGTTCTCCTTTGATATTCAAATACATATACATATATATATATATATATTTAAGTCACCAGTGTATTTTTTGTCCTTTATACTAGTGTGGATCAGAGTGTATAATGGTGAGGCAATTATTGATTAACAAAGCTCACATTGCTTTTGAACAAACACTAGGATTCAACAATATAAGAGGTCAAGTCCAAGGATTCAACAAAATTAAAGGTCAGGTCCAATGACTTAATTGTACCCAAGTTTCACTCTATCTCTGTGCATAAGGATGCTCTATTACATCCAGCCTGAATTGGTCATGATGTGCAGTGTGGAAGCAGCCTGTCTCTTAAATGATAGGTTTTGGGGAGTTAAATGTTTCTTTTTGTTTTTGCTTTTCCAGGTCTTATTATAATTTTACAAGTAATGATGAATGGCAATGTGTAAAATCATCTGTTGCAATCACATTTTAGGACAATTTAGTTCTTAATTTTTTAAAGGAAAAAGCTAGACAAATATGGAGAGTCCATACATACATTTGTTCTTTTGCTTGCTTGCTCTTTCAGTCGCAGATTTGATTCCATGAACCATGTGAGAAAGTTGACCGATGGAAACTGGAATGATCCAACACAAGAAGATGAGCAGAATGATAATGAAGATATGGAGGTGGAACTTAAAATGAACAAGCCTGGCAGATACTACAAAAATCAGGTACATCATGATCTGTGATTTACAGTGCAACTTCATTAATGAACTGAAGCATAATTGGCTCTTTAAAAAATTTTTAACGTCATGCCTCCTCAGTCCTCAAAAATACTTTCTTTCTATGTACTAGTTTTCACTATTGGACTGGACAGTGTGGGGGCTTGGGTCTGTGAAATAATTGTTGAACAGTTGAACGTTGTTTCTTTTATTGTTGAGGATACCTGCTAGCAGTGCAACTTTCCTTTACAAATATTTCTACCTGCAGTTGATGATGTCAGAGTGGCTTGTAGAAGTACCAGCAGACTTCAGTACAGAGTGGATTTCTGTCCTCTGTCCTGTGGGAAAACGATGTCTTGTCGTTGCCTCGAGGGTAAGTCTTTTGAGTTTTGACAAAGTCACAATGCAGCGTGCCCATCGTACCATGTAAAATGTTTTTCTGTGTTGTTTTGATATTTGTAAAAAACTCTCTCTGAAATTAAGATTATGTCTCCTGAGCAAGGAGTTAAATTGGGACTTGTTGAAAAAATTGATCTTATGTTGGTCGCAAATTCTATTTATTTTAGTGATCTGAAGTAAAAATATAGCCATGCTTTGTAAAAACATGTTTCATATTAAATCTTTGGCTGTGCTTGTTTAAAGCCATTGAATTTCACAACATTATATAGTTTGAATTTAATTACTGAAATTTTTTTTCAATTTACTGGTCAGTTTCTGAGTGAACTGTTGCTTTACGGTCACTTAGATTTTGAAAAAAAAAATAACAACATAGAACCACCATTATTTCATCTGTTGTCAAGATTCTTGTTGTTGCAAACTTGCATAGACTTGATTACTAAATTGATCCTCCTTTGGAATAAATCGTTTGGTTGTTTAGGTAAAAGAGTTTCTCCTAAAGCTATGATTCCAATGAATAGGAAAAAGAAGTACAGATGTGTGAGATCTACAGAAAGGTGGGGATTTTCTTGAGAGAACTAAATTTTATTTGCAAGTGCCAAGCAAATCTACCAGAAGCTCTTATTGTTGTGATATTGAATTTTGCTACACTCGTTTCTTTACAAGCGTGTTGTGATCAAGTGTTTTCCATCATTCAAGGACACAGGGAAGGCTGAAATTTTAACAAGATCAGGGGTTGATTAAAACAAAAATATCCTGTGTTGCCATTGGAGGTAGGTATTGTAGGAAAAAAAACTTAATGCCTCTAGTACAATTTCTCAAATTCTAACTCCATTCTTATTTTTGCCTCTAGTAAAACTGAATCAGTTTACAGGTTGGCTTTGTTTTTTCTGTTTCAGAACAAAACTCGAGCTTTCAATAAAAGTGGGTACTGCATCAACACTTTTCCTTCTCATCTGCCTGGTGGCTGTCGACAGAACCCTTGCAAAGGTTTGGACTATACTATATATTTAGTTCTTTTCAATGTTCATGTGTTAGTAGGGTCAGAAATTACTTGGGCTAGGGAGAATGTTCTCCTCTTACAGTATTTTGTTACCAATCGAATTCTCATAATCTGATTGTAGTCTGCTATTAGTGCTTCAGTACACATTATTTGTAGCTTTGATGTATGACATAATTTTGAAAAATGTCCGAAAAGGACTTTTTGACTTCTTTTACTACTATTTATTTTGTTGTTGTTATGGCTTATAATTATAGTATCGCAATGTAATTTGTGCTTTTTTAAAAATAAGTAAAGTATTTAGAAATCATGGGTATAAAGATTTTTAGCTTACCAGCAGCCTTGGAGTAGTTATCATTGTAATCCCTGGTTTGAGGTGTTGGTGGTCTAGTGGTTGGTTTGGCTCTCTGACTGCAACCACATTGTCTTGGGTTCGAATCCGACCGGGGGGCCTAACATTTTGTCCTTGGGAAAGGCACTTATCACAAATTTTCCTATCTTTTCCCTGGTAGGACTGGGTATCCGGATATAGACAACGAAAGATCTTGTCAGTTGGTTAGTGTTTGAGTTCTTAATCGGCTGCTTTCATTGTGTACTTCCCGGGAAGCTGAAAATGTTTCTGAGTGCTATAGGGTCTGCTGGGGTAATAATATTTGTAAAGCACATAGAGCATGCCTTGGAGCATGGATATGCACTATAAAAATGCAATTCTTCTTATTATTTGTATTTTACTGAGAAGGTTATGCTTTCTTTTTTCTTCAGGTGGGGCTACGATATTGGACTGCCTGTACAGTGAGGCCCAACAGACGTATTACATTTTGGATTTAATGTGCTGGAATGGGTGTACAGTGTATGACTCAGAGGTGGGTCCATCAACACCATCTGCCCTTTTCTTTCTCCTGGTAATCGGTATAGGCTACCGAGAAGGGCTCTCCGTGTGTCTCTGTTCTGATTGAACTTCTCTGCCTTCTGCCAGCTGAGCTCCATCCCATATGCCTGAGATCTGCGGGCAGATTTCGCTCCCAGGTGGATTTTGGCGTTCCTCTCTCGCTCCGCTCCTGCGAATTCAATCTAAGGCTTTGTCTTGTCAAGTTGTGGGCTGGGTCCCTAAGCTACGTGTATCTAATCCATTGCTATCTTCTTTTCCTGATTTCACAGTCAATTGGTTGTTGTTGGTACGTCAAGAGGTGTGTTGCTTGCACTTTTACTACTCATTCTGTGGGTAAAAGTATAGTTGGCCCTGGGGGCTCTCATGGTGTTGGCCTCTCATTCAAAGGTCGCGGGTTCGAATCCGGGTACCGACCAATAAATTCTCTTTTCTAAAATTGTTTCCTTTCACCTCCTTTCCTGCTCTCTAGAAATGTTCTGTCATCTGCTTTCGTCTCCTCTTTCTGCCCCCACCCCCTCACCTCCTTTGCCCCTGTCTCTGGGCTCCTGATTCTTTCTGCAGCCTTTCTATTGCTACTCCTTGGCTCCTTCTTACCTCTGTCTTTCAGCCACACATCTGATCTTCTCGTAGGAAAGATCTACACCTGGCCTTCTTGGACAAGGGTGAAAAATCTCGGAGGGCGGAGGGCCAGTGTGCAAGTTGCGCACGTTAAAGATCCCTTGGTGGTCTAAAATTGATAAGAGTAGGCTTCGGCCGCCACCCGGGCAAAATTAAAAAATTTCCTACCATGAAAAAGTTTAATGTGTCCCGCACGCTCATATGACCTTATACAGTTGCGAGCGCAGTAAAACACTTTCACACACTCAAAAAAATAGTTGGCCTTTTCCCATTTTGCATGGGCTTGAACTAGTGTGATGATCCTGGGTCACAGTTGAGTGGCAGCTGTGTCTTACGGGAACAGGAAATAGTGGGCTGTGATCATCAGGATGTGCAAAGGCATGGAGTGTTTTATTGTACTTTTACCACTTAAAGTAGAGTCATGTGGTAATTTCTGCATAAGATCCAGTTAATTGGAAAGGTGGGGGGATGAAATATTGACGGGACTTGGGATCAAGTTGCTATTTAATCAGCAGTCTTTCTTTGCTTTGAAATCCACAGGGGTGAATTCACGAGTGTGATTTGACAAAAATTTAGAGTAATCAGTCAGTTAGGAAGTAAAGTGGGTCCAAACAGGTAGAATTATCCTGTCTTGAGTCTTACAGCATTTGAATCCATCACCACAATTATAATGATTATAGCCTAGTATTTTTCAATGTCTATTTTATTGAAGTGTGCCATAGTGCCCATGTATCTTCCAGCTGGTAAAAGTTTTTACAAAAGGGTAGAGTACAAGATTCCTTTTTGTTGCTTTTTTGTACAAGTGAAAATTAAGAACCAAGAAACTGTCACAGGTGTTTCAGACATATCAATAATATCATAGATAAGGACTGAATTTCTTTGCCTATCTTTGCTTTTTTGAGTATGTGGAGAGTGCACATAGTTTTGCATGATAAAATCTTTTCTCTTTTTTTTTATCGGATGAGTATTATATAAATGAACTTTATTGTTATTATTAATTTACCACAGAGATAATTAATTTGTCTTAATTCCTTTTTTTTCTTTTTCTTCTTGTCACATTCAAGACGGAGTTTCGATTTTACTGGCTCCATGAAAAGTTGAAGGAGAACAGCACTCTGGCTGACAAATCAAACACGAATCGAGTAAGTCAATGAAATATAAGCAAAATTTGTATGCTGAGTTAGATGTTCATTGGATTGTCTTTCCATTCCCGGACTCTTTGTTGTTTGGACTTGCTGTCTACAAGGTGGAACATTACAGTTTACAGGGCCCCAGGAATGTGAATAAAATCTCTAAGACCCAAGAAGTAAGGAGTCCTGGTAGATGGATCCAGGAAAGACCTGGGAAAATGTGATTTGCTCTTCAAACTTTGAATGCAAATTCTTATATAAAGAGCAAATTCACATACTGTCACTGGTGTTGATACTGTATTCGATCTCAGATTCAGGTTCTGAGATGAGTTTCACACTAACAAACAGCTATATAAGAAGTAGAGACAAGGCCATGTCCAAGCAAACTTCTGGTCAGACAACAGTGTGTTTGGGGAATTTCTTACCCATGGTTGTCGACTGATTTACAGGTGGAAGGGAGTTGTTTTGTTGTAATGGTGCAATGCAGGACCAAAAAGAAAAAAGAACCCAAAGTAGCAGAAGGACAAAGGCAAAAGGTGCTTGGGAACAACAGGGCATTTTTTTCTAACTGCATAGTCTGGATCAAGAAATTAAATTTCTATGTTTGATTCTACCCCGAATTCTGTGGTCATAGTTCCGATAACTGTAATGGTCTGCCGACTATAAAAGCAGTAGCACTGTGAAAAACAATTATCAGCATTCATTGCTATGAGTGATTTGATTAACAGTCACAAACTACTGGTTAGTCAGCTGCAGTCAGGGGTGTGTTTTGTAACCAGTTTGTATACAATTTGTACCAAGGATCAAAGAAGTAAATATAAAACAACACGCTTAATTAAGTTTGTAGATGGCGCCGCTATTATTGGATTAATAAATTTTGATGAAAAAGAGTATTTCGAAGAAATATGTATGTTTTTTAAATGGTGCAATTCAAATTTTCTAAAAGTTAACCTTTCAAAAACGAAGGAAATGATTTTTTATTTTAGAAGAGAAAAACCAACAATCCCACCACTCGTAATTGAACAAGAAACAATTAAAATCACGGATTCATACAAATAAATATCTTGGTCTTACAATCGACAACAAATTTACATGGCAAAATCACATATACAATATCGTTAAAAAGGTAAATTAGAGGCTGTACCTTCTGAGGAAACTTGGGTCTTTCAATCTGAATCCATCCATCCTTCAGATATTTTCCTCCACCACAATAAAATTTTGGTATCTCTTGCTATGGTAGCAATTTGGGAAGACAGCTCATCATGAAAATAAATAAGTTGATCAGAAAGGCATCAAGAACAATTGGTAGAGACCTAAGTAACTTTGAATATCCTCACAAAACAAACATTCTAAAAGCAATTAGAAAAAAGATATGCTCTTGGAAATTATCAATTTGTGTCTTCTTTTTGTTTCAGTTCAAATTTGTGGCCCTGCCCAGTTTCAGATGTGAACAGGAAGACATTGCTGCAGCTGTCTCTGATGCTACATTTGAGGTAAGTTTCAGCATAAAGAGGAAATGTGCCAACTTGTTGCCACAATTATAACTATGAAACGTCTCATTCGCTATGAAAATTGGATTGTTATTGACTTTACGATAAAAGTAGAGTATAGTCACCCAATTCAAACTATTTTACCAAATGCGCAACATCTGAGGTTACTGAAAGTGAGAAGTGAGGGG